TGTTAGGGGTCATAGGCAAAGGTGGGTCCAGAGAGGTCTTAGGAGGCCAAGTACAAGTTAAAGTTATGAGGGAAGAAAGACTATAAGGAAACGGAGGACAATGGATGGTAAAAAAGAGAAGGAAAGGAAAGATGTGTTGAGGAAAACAGGTAAGTCCTAAGAAATAAAGTGACGTTGGTTCCTGATGGTTCCTCAGCTCCAGTCCTCATAAGGCACCAGGATGTGCTACAGTTTCCTGTCTTTGGGCATCTGTGAGATCACTATGTATTCTCATCATACTCATCCTTTATATGGGTCAACTTGGTGACCTGGCCTAAAATACTGGCAATGTGAGAAATCTGCCTGTAGGCAGGCAGTGGAAGCTTTAAAACTCTGTCTTTATTGCTAACCAGTTGTTCTTAATTTGTCTTCCTCCTCCTAGGAAACCTTACAGGATTAGAATGCGAATTTTTTTTTTTTTTTTTTTTTTTTTTTTTTGGTGCAGAATGGGAATGCCCAGAGCTTAAGGATTTAAGGTTTACTGGCAGGGCTGAGATCTCTTCAGACTCTTACTCAAGAGGCATGGCCATCTCCCATCACCTCGAGAAGGTTTCATCTAATGCTTTTAAGTCGTGAGTGATTATTTACAAATGATGCTGGGTAGACTGTCTCTGACATATCCACTTGCACCTCCAGAACTCTTTTATGGTGATAATGCCCCTCATTTCTCTGTTCAATTATTTGGTAAACAAAAGATCAAAGAGACGAAAGGTGAAAATTAATTGTAGGGAGTGAGCACATTAGGAAAATATTTCTGGAATCAGTGGAGTGGAGAAAGAAAGAGGCGGAATGCGAAAGAAGTCAGCTCCAGGAATTTTCTGAACACTCCAGGATTCTTATGAACCTGCCGTCAGTCTTCAAGGCCCAATTCATGAAGTAGCTTTTCTTGAATTGTGAATTGAAGGGTGGATAGGATTTGGACATGCAGACTTGAGAAGAATGGCATTCTTTGTGGGGAAAATAGCTTTACCAAAGAGGTGAGTGCACTGTACATGGAAAACTCGGGACAATTCGATTTGGCTGGGGTGCTCAGGGTACCTGCATGGGGGAAGATGCATGTTGATCCCAAAATGTAAATTGGGACTAAACCCTGCAATGTCCCCTGAGCAGGCAGAGTGAGCATCAGAGTTTCATGAGCAGGGGAGTGATTCATCTGCTGCCCTTCGGAATATTAACTTGGAAACACTGTGTTCTGAGGATCAGAGTGAGGAGGGTGGTGTCGAAGTCAGGAGACCTGGTGGGAGATAAGAAGAAAATAGTGTAGTTTTAATAAAAGGAAAACAAGAAGGCAGCAGATGAGAAAGAAATTATAGACCAATGGCTCAAGTAGGCCATGAAAATAAGCAGTCTGTGTTACCCTTGGAAGTTGCCTGCTTGTGTTGTTGGAAGGATGATGGAGCCTTTTAGGAAAGTTGGGAATGCCAGAGGAGGAGGGGAAAGGGAAGAGGAGAAAGAAATGGGGGAGGGGAGGTCATTTCTGAATCACTTTAAGAAGCTTCAAAGACTCAATTGATGTGTGAACATCAGATTTAAACACACCCTGTCTCTGTTAGGGAGAGAATGCTATGCTATGCCATGGCTAAATTAGGCTGAAACGTTTCATGTCTGCACTGGGGGAAGTGTGTTGGTCTATGTCTGCAACATATATGTCATTAAATTCTTCAATGTGTTTGTAATTTGTATGAAAAATATCAAAAAAAAACACCCCCAAAAACAAACCCAGTCTTCTCCCAACCCCACAAGGGGATTAAGCTATCCTATGTCCTATGGCCTTGGATTTTTATTTCACTGCTGATAATTTTCTAATCATTTAAAAGTTTCCTATATATTACCAATTTATGACTTCAAATTAGAAAAATCTAAGGCTTTCTGTCTTAGCACATTTCATCTTTGATAAAACATTCTCTCCACAAAGACATCTGAAAGATCTCTGGAGGTGACACTGATGAGACAGTAATTTTGAGTGGATTTAGAGTTTTAATTACTGTTTTATTGAATTGCAAGTGGGTACTGTGGAAAAAAAAGCCATCAACAAAAGAAATAATTGTTCTAAGGAATTACATCTGCACTGTATTCTCTGTCAAAAATTTCTCATTAAAAATGTGTTTCTTTAAAAGTAACTCAAAGCAGCTGATGAAATACAAGAGCATGGAAAGTTTCAAATCCCAGTGCAAATTTGGATTCATCAAGGATCATTTGCCAGAGACTTGACTCAATGGCGAAAGAGCTTCTCACCATTTCTCACGTCCCTTAACTGGGTTTCATACTTAGATTCAGATGGTGGCAGTTTTATTTCTATAGGTGGGTGTTTTTCCCTTAAATGCTTCCTTTTTGTAATACTTTTGATGTCTCTGGAGTATTATTCCTGTTTGACTTTTCCCTGTAGTAATGACACACTGACTCTTGTGTTTCTTTACTTTAAAAGAGTGGGTAAAGAAAGAAATAAGCCACACATAGCTCTCCTAAAGAGGTGAAAGTCCTTAAAACCATCCTACCATGTCTGAGCCACTGTGTGAAAAATGATAGTTATTGAGATTGTTCCCAAACATTCTCTAGGTTTTTGGAAACTACAAAGAACAGACTTGTCTCAGAGGTCACTGGGGTAAATCTTACAAAAGAATAAGACCATAGGAAAAAAAAATAGAACAACCATATGACCTGCAATCCCTCTTTTGGGCATATACCCAAAGGAAATGAAATCACCATCTCATAAAGATATCTACACTTCTGTGTTCACTGCGGCATTGCTCACAATAGGCAAGATACGAAAACAACGTATGGGTCCATCAAGGAGTGAATGGATAACGAAACTGTGAATATATATATATATATATAAATTAGTCAGCCCACAAAAAGGAGGGCTTGCCATTTAACACAACGTGGATAAGCCTGGAGGACCTTATGCTAAGTGAAATAAACACAGAAAGACAAATAATGCATTATCTCATATGTGCAACCAAAAAATATTCAAATATACAGAGATAGAGAATGAAACAGTGGTTACTAAGGCAGGGGTGGAGGATGGGGAGGAAATGGGAAGATGTAGGTCAGAAGATGCAAAGTAGCAGAGATGGAGGAGGAACAAGTTTAGAGATCTAATATACAGCATTAACTTTAGGTAATAAAATTATACTGTATGTGGGATTCATGGTAAATGAGTAGATTTTAGCTACTCTTGCCACAAAAACAAACAAAAAGGATAACTATGTGAGATGGTGGATACATTAATATGCTTCACTGTAATTACGTTTTACTATCTTAATGTATTCCTTATAAAAACCTACTTTAAATCTACACTATAAAATTTTTATTTTTAAAAAAGGCCATAGAAAAATACTTCTTTGAATCTGGCACTGCTGATGAAAGTCAAAGCAATATATGGAGAAAAGAAGAGGAATAAAGACAAGGTCAAATCTGAGATTTGGGCTGATGTTCTCTAAAAGAGGAAAAGGCAGCCACCTCATCAATTAATTTGTTGAGCTCCTTTTATGGTATGAGGACAGATTGTCAAAGGCTATGGGAATCCCTGTCATGAAAGAGTGTACCCTCTATTGAGGGAACAAGGCACATATATACCAAAATGATTTATTTTATTAAAAAAATTTTTTTTCAAGACAGGGTCTTGCTCTGTTGCCCAGGCTAGAGTACAGTGGTATCATTATAGCTCACTGCAACCTCAAATTCCTGGGCTCAAGTGATCTTCCTGCCTTAGCCTCCTGAGTAGCTGGGAAAACAGGCATGTATCACCACCTGGATAATTTTTAAATTTTTTGTAGAGACAAAAATTATGTTGCCCAGGCTGGTCTTGAACTCCTAGACTCAACTGATCCTCCTGTCTTGGCCTCCCATAGTGCTAAATGATTTAAATGACAAGATAACAGAAACAGAATAATTCCCAGCAGCTACTGAGCACTGTATAGACATTGCTTATTTAATAGTTACCAAATCAGCCCATGAAATAAATGTGTTAGTTGGAATATGTTTGTTGGCTGGCAACAGAAAAGCCAAAAAAAATACTGGCTTAAACAAGGAAGAGCATTATTTATATCATGCCACAAAAAGCCTGGAGATTGTTCCTGTGATCATGGCTGCCAGGGACACAGGCTGCCCTATATTTCTGCCCCACAGTCCTGGTTGCTGCCCTTTCAAGTGTCATACCCATGTGTAAGGCAGGACGTGGACGGATGGAGGAGAGGGCAGCACATAAGGAAAGTGATGCAGTCCCAGAAATCCCAGCCTGCTTCCCCTTCCATGCTATTAGCCTGCACAATGTCAGTAGGCCACCACTGGCTTCATGGAAGCTGGGCACATTGTCACCCCAAACAAAATCTGGGGTTCTGTAAGAAAGGGAAATAAGAGAAGATGCTACAGTGGATTGACTATGCCAATTTACAGATAAGAAACTGAGGCTCAAAGATGTTAAGTGGTTTGCTCAATTCATCACATAACCAGTAAATGGCAGAGCCGGGGTTGAAACCCAGATGTGGGGGAGTCCAAAGTTTTGGCTCTTAGTTCCCATTCAGGGCTGTCACGTGGCAGTTCAAATGGAAGATACAAGTGACTTGGCTGTACATTCAGGGTGGGAATAGATCAATAAGATTTTGATAGGTAGATAATAGGGAGCAGGATCTTTCAGAGAGAAAAAACTTTTCCTATCTTTGGAGGCATTCAGAGGACAGGAAAAGGTCCCAATTGATTATCAGAGGGTTATTGTTAGGGGACTGTGGGAGGGAAGCTCAGAAAGAAAGGCTGGGGCCCCATGGTGATGTGACAGCTTCACAATGACAAATCCAAGACGGAATTCTGATTTCTCTGTTCCCTAACCCATTTTCCTCCCCACCTTTTCCCATCTCAGTAAAATGCACATTCACATGCCCAGGTGGTTAAGCAGGAAATTGGAGGGTCAGCGTTTGTCTCTCTCTTGGCCTCACTCCCACACCAGCAAGGCCTAAAGCATTTACCTCTAAAATATCTGTCACATCCATCCCTTCTCTCACTGCCACTGCCTCTTGCTCACCCAGCTTGCCACCGTCTCGTGCTTGGGAATTGAAGCGGCCTTCTGAGTTTCTTTAGCTTCTTTCCTTGTCTCCTTTAGCCAGTTCTCTGCTTGACAATCTTGCGTGAACCTTAAACATTAAGAGCCAGATCACGTCACAGCATCCACTTAAAACCCTGCAGTGGTTCCCAGTGCACTCGGGAAGGACCCCAATTATGTGTTTGGCTGAGACCCCAACTATGCGTGTGACCCTGCAGAGTCCAACGCTTCCTAACCCCCTTTCCAATCTCACCTTGGGCCACATTCCCCCTTGCCCCGATTATAGTGGTTTCTTTGCAGTTTTTGAAATGCTCGCTCTCCTGCCCAAGATCTTTATGCTTTGAAGCACTTTGCCTCTGACTGACTCCTGTTTCTTTGTATTTATGCTCAAACACCTCCTCAGGCTTGGTTCCCCAGGTGCTCTCTCTACCTCCAGTCCCTCTTGTTCTTCCCCATCAGTTATGTTTTTCTTTTTTTTTTTCATGTTTAGAGCATTTTTCTACAAATATAATTATACATTTATTTGTTTACCTGTTTCTGTTCTGTTCCCTCCATCCCTTTTAAGAACAACGAGGGCAGGAGTTGTATTTTTGCTTTGCTACCTCTGTGTATCGAGTAATTAACACAGAGCTTGGCACAAAGTATGTGCTCAGTAGATATTTTTTGAATGAGTGAGTGAGTGAATGATTAACCACATAACAAGACTGACTTGGGCAAGTCTCCGGGGCTGGTAGAATGCGTCACACACACAGCTAGAAGTGAAGCTTGTTAAAGCAACCTCTGACAAGCAGGAGCCGTTTTACCTATCAGATTCAACTCCAAATAGCAGGTGGGAGGAAGCTCTGTAGCAGTCCGCAGAGGGGTCTGTTAACAGGGGACTTTATGGAAACAATACAGTAATCAAGTGATGATTGATCCATGCTATTGAGAAAGAACTACATATACAATTCTATAATAACGTAACGATTATATATTCAGGGGTTAGAATTTTGACGATGACTACCACTTCCTCTTCCCTGGGGAACCGTGAGAAACATCACCCTGTGTGGCTCAGGGGACAGTTTCTGTTCTGGCCCCGTCTGGAGTCCTCTTCTGTCAGCTTCTGCTGACCTCTCCCTGGCGTGGGTCCTTCACCTACTCTGCCTGCTCGCAACTCACTCACTTCCTCGTTTCAGGGTCTTTATTACTTGCTATTTGTAGAAGATTCTCAGTGTCTGAAAATGTGATTGCTCAAATTTCACTTTACATACAGTCTGTATCAGTTGATATTTATAGAAGTTTTACTTCCCTCTAATATATGCTGCAAAAAGCCGTCTGCTTGTTTGAAATCTATATCTGAATTTTTTTTGCCTTGGTAATAACAATGACAATTTCAACATAAATGATAGCATAGCCACTATTATTTAGGACTTACTGCGTGGCAGGCACTGTGCCAACTCCTTTAAGTAATTAATTTAATCTTTGCCGTAGATGAAGAAGCTGAGTGGGAGAACTAGTGTGACACACAGCCTTAGTTTTTGCTCGTGTCCATGTAGTTTAGTGGTCAGTGGTGCCTACTCCACGTAGTTATTCAGGGATTCAGGCTCCTTACATATAGATGTGCCACCATACTTCAGGGTGTGAGAATCCTCCCTTAGGTCCTCTGAATCTGGTGGCAGCTAATAAGAGAAAGGAGAGAGAATGCGGAGGACCACACAGAAGGGTTGAGGCCCCAGGCCTAGAAGTGGTATATCTTTTCTGCTCAAATTCCAAGGGCTAGAACTCAATTACAGGGCCCCATCTGATTGCAAAAGGTCTTGGAAATATGGTTTCCTTATATACCTAGGAGAAGAGAAAACGATTTTGGTGAGTATCTGGCTAGTCTGTACAATACAGAGGTTAAGTGACGGTCATGAAATAAACAAGTGCAGATCTGGGATTCCAATCCACGTCAGTTGGACTACAAGACTAAGTAAGCTGTTAACCACAGTCTATATTCTCTTTCCCACTTTTAAAAAAAATTTTAAATACTGTGCTTCAACCACGCCATGAAGAGAAGGTTGTAATCGGCTCTTAGTCGGGAAGACTCACTACCTGGTTAAGGGCCAGGCTGAAAAAGTCTTCTTTGACAGAAAAATAGATGCTGTGACACTTCCTTTGTGAAGCTGTAAAACCTTCCTCTTCATGTGGGCAGCTCAGGGGTGCCGTTCCTGCTTAAGCAATTCCTGCCAGATGTCATCAGACCACACTGGACTAAGGACTTTGGACCTCATACCGTGGCAGCCTGCTTACTAAACTCTTAGCTGGATGCCTTTAGACTGCAAGTGGTAGTGTCTCATGGCTGTCTGGGGAGGGCATTACACCTGTGTAATGGGCACAACTTTGTTCTACAAGTTCAGGTGTGCGAGAAATGTACTTTAAATTTTTCTTTAACTCAAATTGCCATATTTCATTAATTACTTTTTTTTTTTTTTTAATTTTAGGGGGCAGGGTCTCACTCTGTAGCCCAGGCTGGAGTGCAGTGGCATGATCATAGCTCACTGCGTCCTTCAACTCCTGGCCTCAAGTGATCCTCCGGTGTCAGCCTCCCAAAGTGCTGGGATTAGAGGTGTAAGCCACTGTGCCTGGCCCATTAATTCTAATACATGCCTTTTGGTATGCTAACATCTCTGAAATCAGAAATCATAATTGATGGCATTTTTGAATCGGCTATTGGCTGGTGATATTGCTAACATATTTGGCATTGCCTGTGCATGTGGAAAGTTGGCCTTAGATATTTATATATTATTGTCTCTTTAGTTGAATTATGTGAATTGTTGGTATTACCCAGGAAAAATTTAGTTGCTGTTTGAAATGTTTTCACAAAGATTATTCTGAGTTTCAGAATAATGAAATGAAAAGTTCTAGTGAACAGAAAGGTTCGGAAACAGAGCAGCAGGGTATAAATATATTAGCAAAGAAAAAAAATTTTTGGAGGAATCACTTCAAACACAGTGTCATACAAGGTAAGAGAGGTAGATCACCACAAGCAAATGAAACTATAATATGATACATTTTGTTACTGAGTTATATAAAAAGGCATTGCCTGTTAGTACATGCCAAGCAAGAATGCATCCACATTAAGCCTTTCAGAATGGGTGGCAGCATCTTGGAAGAAAACCTGGAGCCCATAGTGGGGATACTAGTAAGAAATGTTTCATCACCAGCACAGAGGACAACAGTGTAGAGGAAAATATGAACATTGATGCAGGAGAGTTAGACTCTGAATGAGAAGATATTTGCAGGAATTTCTTAATTTGTTTTCCTTTTTATATATGCATGGGGTGATAGAGAATAAAAATAGATATGTCCCAACAAGTCTTAAGGAGCTTTTTCAGCAAGTATAAAATAAAACTGCTAAGTGATAAGAAAGTATTGTTTCATAGATGAATTGGTGACATCTTTCTTTCTTAGTGGTATATACATTACTGATGCATTTTACCATCAATGGCATCTTAGTATCAATGAAATAGCTAGTCACTTATTTGTGCCCCTATTCCTCTGGGTATTGGGAGTTGAACTTTGGTCAGTTCAGCACCTCCTCTCCCCATGGTTACATTGCATCTCCTGGGGGGTTAGGTGGGGCAGCTGCCTGGATGGCTGTCATTCCGCCTGGTCTCGGTCCTCAGGCCACAGAGATCCTGCTGAGGACTTTTTGTTCTCATCTCAGGGCACTGTCAGAGATGGGTAGCTCTTTATGCTCTCCCTGTGTCCCACTTGGATGCACTTCTTTGGACATAGGAGCTCTTTGAGGCTGCTAAGGCCCTGGGCCACTCAGTGAGCTCTCAAGAGCATGGTATTCTGGTCTTCATATCCTGTTGGGTGGCCGGGCACTGGTACAGTTCACTCCCCTCAGCTCCTCTTAGGCTTTCAGGACTCCAATTTCTGTCCTGCATTATTTTGGAGTGGAAAACCCAGCAGGCTGCTTTGGACTACTTCTATCTCTCATGCCACGTTTTCAACTCTGGCATTTCCCCCCTCCATGGCTTTGCCTGGGAAAACTGCACACATGACCTTAAGCCTTCATGGAGTTCGAGGCCTTTCTCCTCCCATTCCCACACAGGCAGAGGGGGGGGGGGCGCAGCCCACAGGATCTACCTTGTTGGGGACTCACCAGTGTTCAAGCTCTTTTAACTTCCTCTCCATGTTGCCCCTTCATGCCAGTGGCAATGTTCTCTAATCTTGAGGGCCAGCTAGCCTCTCTCTTACTTCATGCTCCAATTCTTCTCCTCAGGGGCCCTGGGCTCTAAAGCCCAGGCCACGAACAGACTGGTGGTTTTCCCGTCTTTCCAAACAAGTGTCTCAGAATGCACAGCTGGCTGGGCTGGGACTGGATGAAAAGAAACAGGAGAAAATCACATTGGTTAACATTTCAAAATAGTACCTGAATGCAGGTTCTCACGGTGACTACTCTTCCACCCTTATTTTAACACGTCCATTTAGGTCCATTGCTTTCATTATTTTTTTGAGACAGAGTCTTGTTCTGTTGCCCTGGCTGGAGTGCAGTGGAGTCAGCCTAGCTCCCAGCAGTTTCAAACTCCTGGGCTGAAGCAATCCTCTTGCCTCAGCCTCCCGAGTGGCTGGGACTACAGGCATGCGCCACCACACCCGGCTAATTTTTCTATTTTTTTGTACAGACAGGATCTCACTCTTGCTCAGCCTGGTCTCAAACTCCTGACCTCAAGCGATTCTCCCACCTTGGGCTTCCAGAATGCTAGAATTACAGGTGTGAGCCACTGCGCTGGCCATTTAAGTGCATTTCTTACATTGCCGGTTTTCTGCCTTCCATAGTAGAAACCGGTTGCCTGATTTCAATGATCCCTCAGATGTTCCTTCTCTTGCTTTTACTTAATCACCTCAGAAACCAGGGTGAAGGTACAGCTATTTTCTTCCTCCTCTTCCTTTTATTTTTTAATATAAAATTTATAATTTTGTTCTATTAAAAGAAATCAGTAACATACAGACAAGTAGAAGAAAGAGGGGAAAAATCACATAAAACCTTGCTATTCTAAAACATCCCCTGGTTGGTGACATTTTATTGTTTTTCCTTCTAGTTATTTTTTACTGCTTACTTGACATCTGTGTGTGTGTGTGCATCTGTGCATGAGTGTGTGTATGTGTGTATTAGTATATACAGTTAACGTTACATCAGACATAGAACTGTATATCCTGCCTTGTCCATTCAACGCTATGACTATTTTATCTTATTATAAAGTCTTCAAAACATTAGCTAAATAACATAGCAGAGTTTACTGAAACCATTTTCCTAATATTGAGCATTTAGCTTATTCTGATTGTCGCTGTTATAAATAAATATTATGATTGACATATTTGTGCATGAAACTTTTTCTATATTCCTGATTATTTTCTTCAGATAGACTCCCAGAATTGGTATTACTAAAAAGACTACCATTTTAAAGAAACAAGACTTCATGCAGCGTCTTCTCTCTAAGTATGAACATCTTTTGCCAGGATGCACTATATCATGGCAGGCTTTACTCAATGTTTCCAGTGGGAAAAACATCTAATTGCTACTGATGCAAGAACATTGTACATCTTCACGAAAATAAGATTGATTATACAAAAATGTAAAGCCAAAAGCTTTGCCTGTTCTTTCCCCATTTGTCAGTAGTTATAGTAACGCTTATCTGAGGGTAATATATGCTGTTTGGCTGGAAGTTTTCCATGAGCTGCTTTCTTTGACCTCCAACTTCTGTGGATCTTGATGGCTTTTCTGATCTCATTACAACAATTTGACATTTATCCATAGGAGAGGATGTACTGTACCTTCAAGTACAAAAAGTATGACTCAAATAGTTACTTCTCAGGTTCTATGATTATTTTTTAACCTAAACTGTTGATAGACAACCTACGGAATCAGAACTAGAGGATTATATTGAACATA